TCCACTAATTCGTCGACTAAACACTGGCGAATACTAAACTCCGAAACTGCTGGATAAACTTTGCCCGCTCTGTAATTAAAAAAGTTTTCAAGCTAGACCGTTTCAAATGAACCTAACGTATGGAAGCAGTCATTTGTAAGGATCCATGTGGTCGTTTGCCGTTCGTGCTGACCGAATCCGACTTACATTCAATTTGAAAATGTCGACGTGGACATCAACATTTTATAACAAAGTCGACAAGTCATAACGATTCTAATATAAACAATAACGCACTAAATTAATTCTAAATAAAATAATACCTGATAAGTATGAAAGAAAAAAAATGTCTACAAACTATTTGTAGAAACAACACTAAAGATATTTTAAGCATAAAATACGAAAGAATTGAGATAACGAAATTGTTTTAAACTTTCTTCGATGTTTCTGTCTGTTTTCATTCGAGCAAAAAAATTGAAAGGATTTCCATCCCATTTTATTTATTGTTCCGCAAATATTATTTCTTTTGAAAAACAAGTGTAAGTATTACTTTATTTGAACAGGTGACCATTTTATTAACGAACTGTTGTTTCTCTTTTGTTTCCTGAATGTTTTCTCGATTCTCATCAAACATTTGTATTGCAAAACTCGTTTTAAGTACGTCTACTTTGCATAGAAAATTAACGAAAATGCCATACCAGACAGTTAGTACCAATTGCGATAACGTGCAAATGATGTTTAATAAAATTAAAGTAACTCGTTGGTAATGACCTATAAAGATAAAATAAAAATATTGAATTAATTAAATATCCATTAGGTGGGTGTAAAAGGTTACCACGTTGCCCTCTCAGTTCTAAATTGCATTTAATTATCGCTAGGCCTACACAAGACTTTATGTGAAATTTTAACTCAATTTTTATTACCAACTTATCATAATAAATTTTTTTTTGATATTAATTTCTCGATCAGTGTTTTGTTTTAATAATATTTGTTCATAATAAGTACATTCTAATTCTTGACTTTTCTAGAACTCTACTCTTTAAACGGAATAACATCTCTATATTATTAAAATACAAACGACAGCTAACGTATAAATATGTTTTCAATCAAATGAAACGTAAAAGCGAATATTTTTCCGGAATTTATAAATGAAACGCTATGCCAAAGGAAATGTAACTTTTAATTTATGAACTTCGAAATTTATTAAGCAACGGAACTATTCATCAGAATAGTTAACATCGTAGGAAAATAACTGCCGCGTTTGGAAACTTATAGAGGCGGTACATTCGTTTAATTTAAGCCAATACGTTTATTCGATGATTCAGTTTCCATTCATTAACCGCAAAGGGGTTACGTAATTTGAATATTCATTCAGGGATACTCTATGACGCGTTTTGCACTTTTGATACTCTGTGGTTGATTGCAGGAGCAATCAGTATTTTTGAACGAAATTAAATTTTATTAACGAAGTAAAAGGAGTTACGAAATTATATATTGCTAACTGTCTTACTCATCTCTCCGATAATTTAGGACATCTTGGCATACTAAGAAGCCTCGGAATGATGTATTTTATTTTACGTGTTATACAATATGGCAACACTAGAATACAAGATGTCAATTCATTCATATACTTAAATATAAAGTAGATGTACTTAATTGTAGAGAAGCTCTTTTTATTTTCATATTTATCTTAAAATCACTTTCCATAATATTGCTATCTATCTTTAAGATTTAGATAACAGATTGCATAAATTGTTAGCGACTTTAGTTGTATGTATTGAGAAATCTGTGGTGCACTTTGTAATCTATATCGAGCTTATCTAACATTGATAATTTTAGATAGGTCTTTTCAATTTATTTTTTTCATAGTTTTACACTATAATTTGATTATTTGTTCTTTTTTATCTTCGAGTTTTCTTCCTATTTTTTCTGTTTAATATATAGTATAGGTCAAGTTTGTTTGATAAATATTGCATTGATGGTATAAACAAAAAATGTAACTTTATTTCGTTTATAACAAACTAGCTTTCGCCCGCGACTCCGTCCGCGTGGAATAAAGAAAAAACAAAAGTGTATAGCCTCTGTGTTCTTCTAGACTATCCACTACATCTATACCAAATTTGATCGAAATCCGTTTAGCCGTTTAGACTACAAAGTCTAACAAACATCCATCCATCCATCCATCCATCTAAACCTTCGCATTTATAATATTAGTATAATATTAGTATGATGGTAAAGTAGTAAAAACGTTTTTTCACTATCAAAAAGATGTAGAGTTTTTATTTAAAAATACTGTAATATATTTTCTTTAATATTTTTCACATCTAACCATTGTATGTTGAATCGCATTTAGTCGACATGTGTTTCACAAATCCCGATCGGCATTGTACGTGTTTAACAAATAGAATAGGCTGATTGTGGGGCGCGGCCGGTTCACACGACGTGCAGGATCTGGGCTCTATTTGCCGCTTCTGGTGATGCGTGGCGCCGCGCCCGCTGCACGGACCTTGGGGATTATAAATGCGTATTCCTCTCTTTATTTTACATGTAGATTGTATAAAGTAGCAAAACTCCACAGCTTTTCACATATCAATAGATTATTATATTTCCTACTACTTTCTTTATAACGTATCAGCTATGTTTTTTAATTGCTTGTAATGTTTAACTCCTCAGTTTTGCAATTGCAAGTTTTAATAATAATAGTGCAGGGATCTGTCTCCACTCTTAAACATATATAACCTCGATGACTTGGGTGCAAATAATAAAAATGTATATAAAATTGCTGTTCAGACTCAAAGCCGGTTGTCACATAATTATACGTAATTATTTTATATCAATTTGCAATAACAATTCTAGTTTGTTCCCCACGTTGACGCATAAGTGCAAGAACAAGTAATCAATTATACGTTATGTGGGATAACTGTCGATCATATCATGTTATACAGAGGTTATTAAGGTCATTACAAAAATTGCATAACTAGGAATTTATAACAGTGAAGACCCAGATCAAATAACGAACAAGTCTCAAGGAAGGGATTATTAAATAATTATTATTATAGGGAGTAAAATTCTGTATTATTGAGTTAATTAGAAACATTCCAATACCAAAAATATCTTTTTAAAAAATCAACCACAATATTTGTATTTACGTAGATATTGTACGGTGCTGTAGGTAGAAAGTCGGATTCACCCTCTTCTAATCGACCATCGAACGGCAAAGGTCACTCCAAAGGTCAGGTACTAATGTCTATCTTCTATTAGGCACATCGTGAACGTAAAAAGTCGATACTCGGCCTTCGCTAACTCTGTGGACAGTTTCGTAAATACGTGCCCAGTGTTGTGATGTCGCGACCACGCTTCAAGTTCTACCTCCAAAATACGAAACCGCTTATTTTAGTTCTGACTTTGGGCCAATTTAATTCGTAGGCCAACTGATGCGATCGCCAACTGGCAAGACGTTTAAGCTTTCGGCACCAGATATTTTTTGTTACTCTTCAAATTTACTTGAGACGTTGACTTTGTTTTGTTTTATTTTGTACTTGACATTATTTATAAATTCGTTTAGAGTTTTTAAAAGATCTCAGGTACTTAAATTGAAAATTTCCGATTATGTCAATATGATATAACAACTATTAAAATGGAACTAAATCCAAGTAACTACATACTCAGTTATTTCCTGAAATCTTATAAGTAATATCAACTAGGTATATCCTTACTGTGATATGTAGTTGCTAGTTACAGTACCGTTTTCATTGACCCGTGACGAGGCGAGCTTTTAAATTTAAGTAATCTGATCGTTCGTTTCCTGCGTCTCCGATTCGTGCCGGTCGAATGGACAATGGAAACGTACACTAAATGGATGTTTGTATGCTAACCGCCTCCGAGCAGTCGGAAATGTTAGACAGGCGTTTATAGTTAATAAGTAAGGCACACTTTCTCTCCAATTATTCGGAGTTCGTTAATTCAATATTGGTTTAACACCGTTGTGAAGTGACGTATGAGCGCAAATGACCCACATCCTTCACCTTCAACCGACACCTATGTTTCCTTATCATTACGTAGAGGATGCAATTTAAACTTGCCATTGTATTTCAAACCTAATGGACGAGGTGTTTGTTATGAAAATAGCGTGCACTGGATTTTTAGCGAGTTATAAATATTTTTGACACGTAGTTAGCTTTACAGTTGTAGTTGTGTTAAATTTATTGTGTACGGTTTACGAGTTTTTTTATGTTAAATAGCTACTACAAATAGAGCAGAACTGCTGAATAGAATGGAATTAATATTTATTTCTATTAAATAATCAGATGAAATAAAAATAAAGTCTTAAGCTTAAATAATTTGCCTACTATTTTTATAATATTTGTCTTGATATATTGAATATTAAGTGGTTCTTTTTTAATGAAGAAGAATGGTTATGTAAATATAACGTTTTACATGAATGTTGGAAATTTATTTGCGTATGTTATTTAAGTATTATTATTACCTTGACTCTTTAATATTAGTATGATATTTGGTTAGTTATTAGTAATGATTGATATTTAACACAGTTTATACATTTAAATAAGTTTCCTATATTTATATTTCGTAGATTCTACAAAGGCCTTCCGAAATAATGCGGAAGATGTTTGAATTTTAAATTAATTCGTTATTAATGGCGTTTTCTAAGAAATTTAGATACATTAAAATAGAGTCATTAGAAATAATTTATTCCTTTCATATTATAGCAGTATCGATTTAATCAAAGTGTTAGAGCGTTTTATATTTAATATTTATTTGATAAGCGAAACCTTATACTTATAAACATTGAAAGATGAATAAGTTTTTTTAAAGGTTCGTAAGATACGGGTTTCTTACCACGATTGGGTTGTTTCAGCTCTCGATTAAAAACCGAACCTTACGAACATTATATTTGTAAAAACCACGACAGTTTATATAAGGTTCTTTTTACCGCAACTGGCCGTAGTGTATATTAAGTATGTGGTTAATATGTAACTATAAATATTTGATCGATTAATTTGCAGAGACCGTCATGATAGCGCCGACGTTCCGAGCTCGCTCGACGTCACCAGGTAAAGAGTGGTAACGACGTATCCGACGTAAAGAGTGTACATCTGTTACAAGAGATGAGACTGTATTCGTCGGATATGTCGCAATGTATGTTGTCCCTAATGTAACAAAATATATAATGAACATTTATCTGCTACAAATATTAAAATATTTCTGTACAGAATATAAACAGTTAAAATTTTTAATGTATAACATGAGTTTCCACTAGTGAAATATGTAGAAAACAAAATTCCTTCGTCCCTTATATTCTCTTTTAAACTCAATAGATAACGATATATTTTGGAAAAAGTCACGCGAAAAAATATACATAAATATATAGCATTTAAATGTTCAGCAACGAATGAAAATGTCGGACCGTGTAATGGCATAATAAAATACATATTAACATAAGAATGCCACAAAGCGAATCGACCTTGTTATCCTCCGGTACATTCGTGTCCAATAACATTGTTATAGAGTGTTCAATATTACATTTCCATTATAATAAATTCAATAAAGATTCATACATCCTTTTACGTTAGTTTAATTTGGCATGGATATTCTTTTGTCGTGGAATTTAATTAACAAATGATTTTATTCGTACTAATAATTTGGTTTTTTGTGTGTTTGGAAGTTATTGTACAACTAACTTGAATGCAATATACATTTGAATCTATTTGAATTAAAACAAGTTTTCAGGTTATAATAAAAGTAAATCAAACCCGTTATAAACCATGCAAAACTATTTATTTCTACACATGCTAAAATAAATCTTGTATAAACTACACTTGTTACTCTATAAAACATTAATTTGTACAGTCAGGCGAAACACGTGTTACATACGCCTACAAAAGGTAAAAGGTTGATCGACAATCGAAACCCGAAATCGTCGTAAAAGAGTAAGCTCGTAAAACGAACGTTAGAAAGATCAAGTTACTGCCGATTTGACGCTTTCCTCTGCTTACCCACTTGAACGTTTAATTGGGTAGTTATTTTAGGAACATCAAACCTAGTTGTTTGGGAAGATTATAAAATATCGTCTTCAAATACTTCAATTAGGAGACCTTAATTATAATGGCGTTTCCAGATAAATGGTTTAAAAACGCATTATAGTGTACTCGTATATTTTTAGACTTAAAAAAAGAACTTTAATACTTTTTGGTATAGAAATATCTAAATTATTTTTAGAAATTAAATGTATTCTATTCTCATTTATAACTTACAAAATGTTTATAAAATTCCATGAAATTTTATGAACTACTAGCTTTCGCCCGCGACTCCGTCCGCGTGGAATTAACAAAAAAGAGAGTAGCCTATGTGTTCTTCCAGACTATCCTCTACGACTATGCCAAATTTAGTCGAAATCCGTTGAGCCGTTTAGGCTACAAACTCTAACAAACATCCAACCATCCATCCATCTAAACTTTCGCATTTATAATATTAGTATGTAGTATGTGTACATATGTAGTTTTTACAAAACATTTGTGGCCTCAGAACTATGCACCTAAATATTACGTCACACTAATTTAGAGATAATACTATTATCCATGCACTTCCCGTGTTAGTGAATGAGCTCAAACGGTTTTAACGATTTCATAACAACCTGGATTACACCACTGTTGCTCTACTGAGAATATTAAAACAAGGTATAAAAGACAATGTGAAAATGGTATTGTTGATATGGAAAATTAGATAGTAAACTAAACTGATTTGCGGTTAGTTTATTTCTATTAAATATGCAAATGTTTGAATGGATAGATGTTTATATCGCATACTTAACTCCAAAATTGAAAAATACACAGAGGTAGGAAAAGCGTATAGCTTACTGATAAGGAGTCCAATATTTTTTTTGTAAAGTTATGTCTGGTTGAGTTTAAAAGCTATCTATGACTACATAGATTTTATTACAAAGCGGATCCTTTAAAATATATTGTATAATGTTCAATATCAGCCTTTATTACCTTTTGCAAGGTAAAGTGAACTGGAGCGTGGACGGTACTGGTCCACTCTATGACACATCCTTCACATGCTTCCGATATTAACTATTATTATATATTCAAGCGTGAAGGTTTTGTTACGATCTTCCTGACCTTAGAGAATCTTACATTAAAAAAAATCATATGTCTATATCGTTAGCGGCTTGTACATATTATAGCTTCATAATTTAAAACATACTAGTGTCTTCGTATGCGTTGAATTAAAAAAAAACTAAGTCGCCTATATGTTCTTCCAGACTATCCTCTACAGCGATGTCAAATTTCATCAAGATCCTTTTAGCAGATTAGGCTACAAACTCTAACAAACATCTATCCAAAGTTTAGCATTTATGTTAGTAAGATTTATGGTATACGGTAAATTTGTAAGTAAATAAATTCCACTCTATTTCATCCTTAACCTTGTAAGGCATACATTCTAAGTAATACGTCACAACAATGGAATAATTATATGCCACAGACCTAGTGACATTGTCGTCTTACTTGCCTTGTAATAAATTAAATTCAGAAACACAGCTGTGTAATTTACTAAACATTAAACATGTAACAAAACTTTACTGCGTAGCGTTAATTAAATTTACCCTTGACATATTTGCTCTATTTTTCGGGTTCGGTAACCGTCTTGAAGTTTATTATTCCGTTAACTGTTTTGTCATAGTGTATAGTTGCCAGAACGTCAAACACGTAAAATCAGGGTTACGCATTCGCCTCATCTCAAGGTGGTCGTTATCGTTTCCGTCGACGACTCATAATAATCACGTAACATTTATCTTTACACTAACCTAAACGGCCATTATACATTTTTGAATTAAAACAAATGAAAGATTGATCATTTAAAACATAAAATGAACGTTTTTTAAAATCATTTGCTAAAAAAAGTTTGAGTTAAAACATAACTTATCCTTTAAATATCTGTGGCTCAAATGAGATTAACATGTTCTGGTAACACTCAAGAAATTACAGGTCCTTAATGTAGTATTATTTTAAACATTTTTTGAAACAGGCACACGATTTATCCCACATGATAAGTTTAAGACAAGATTTTTATCTGAAATATATAAAAATATCCTACAATTTAGTAAAAAAAACTGTCAAATTTATGACTGGGTCCTTGGGATTCTAGTTAAAAGGTAAGTAACTGTTTGTTTCGCTAACATAATAAATGCGAATTTTACCAGATTATAATTAATATGAAAAATCTTCAATTTCCCAAATCACAGTATTCTGAAAATAAGTGACACAGTAAATTTTCTTTCAGTCCTGTAGTATTCAAATTTCAGCATCCATTGTGTTACACAAAGCGGAGATATTTTCGACGTCGTAGTTCCCGCTAAATGGACATGTAGTTTTTTTATTTCACTTTTTTTATTATCCTTTGTTTGTTCTCTATTCAAAAACAAAGTAGAAAAGGATTTCGTTATGCTTATAAACATTTTCTTGCAAACCCCTGAGCAAATAATGGGTCGCTAAACAGAAACCTTTCACATTTATACGAAATCTGTTCTTAGGGGATGGGAAACCCTTTTACCGAGCCGTTTAAATTGTCAATTAGCACTTCGGATTCGATGTGATTTTAAATGTAAATCCTTGTAACGTCACGGGTTTACGCCTACTTTAAATTTAAGTTTCAATTCAGACCTTTAATTTCATTTATGTCGTACATTTATCTTCGGCTTAGATATTGGTAGATTTATGTTTTAACTTAAATAATACATGTTGTCATAATACTTAGAATTTACAGAAGATTTACGGAGAATAATGTCTGTTTGTCTGTGTCTTTGTTTGTATGGCTATGTGCTCATAGCCACGTTGGTTCAGTAACTTGCGGCGAATTATACGTTAAGACCATTCACAGTTTAGAAATACCTAGTGAACTTTGACTTTATAACGATATAAAAATCTAAGCCATATTGCGTAAAAATATGTAACTAATTTAAATGCTCACATTCAAAATTAATGTAAGAAAAAAGACGATTAAAGCGCCCCCAAGTCAAAACTTTTATATCCTTGTTTAGGCTATACGTCGAAATAACGTTTTCGACAATATTGTCGATTAGCAGATATTATGTCAGGATACAAACTTCATCAATAGTTAAATATGAGTTATAAATATGTTAAGCGAATATTCACACATTTTAAGACCTTGGCATATCTTAATACTTACATCATAGTACAAATATTACTTTAAAAAATCATAGAGCGTTTATGATATTGGTTTCATAATTAATAAAATAAATCAAGTCAACGCATTTTATATTCTATTTTTACGTCCAAAGAACTAAAGTTAAACTACTAAACTTAAAGATAAAACTACGTTTTATTTTAAATTGATGATTCTAAGATAATCAAAAGTAATCTTGACTTAAATAAGCAGGAAATGTATTTCAGATCTTAACAAAGATATTAAAAATATATAGAGAGGAAGTGTAATTCACTTGAGACATTTTTAACATGATCCTCACTAAAGCTATGTATTCATAGATTCTCAAAACTACATGTCAGTATAATTAATTGCATTAAAATGAATTGATACTGTTTAGTTTATTTTATTACGAAATATGGAGCTTATTATAATTATGTAAAATGTCTATACATGGTGTACTAAATTGACAACTAACTTAGTACCTTTGAAAGAATTACTGGTAAAAAAATATTTACTATGTCTAGTCTATATTTTTCTTATATGACTTTGAATCTCATTTTTTTATTTTAATACATTACACAAGTAGTAAACTATTTTGAAATACTTGTACAATCGTGATGTATTACGTCTCTTTCCGTTTGTTCAGTTATCAGTGCGTGTGTCAGTTTTCACCATTCGTGATACTCGTGGAGAAAGGGGAGGCTTTCATAATAGCAACACGTCAGAAGGGGGAGGTAACCTTAGTACGTTGACATTCATCCACCTTCCACCTTTTCTACCTCGTTCCTATGCCACCCTATCGCAATATTACCAGTCGTGTTCGTTTGCACAATTTGCTTCCTCGAAGTAAAAACATTTACGGATTTACGATTACAAATTGATAAATATTTGTCTTATACA